AGCCGAGGCCAGTTTGTGGGCGTCCGAAGGAACGATTTCAAGCACACAGTGCACGGTTCTGGGTTTTGTTTTCAAGCTCTGCTGCAAAACGGGAAAGTGCCTGCCCGCCCTCTGTTCAAGGCTCCCGCGCGGAGTGGGCGCAGCGCCAAGGTGAGGCCAATGAGCCCGCTCCCCGGGGTCACTCCAGGGAGCTGGTCAGGGACGACAGGTGCTCGTCTTGGTGGAGGCACAGGCGTCCTGCTGAACTGGGTCAGCGGCGCCCGCGCGTCTGGGCCTCCGCGTCCTGCCCCGCCTGCTGTCTGTGCACCTGTGACCGGAGCCACCTACAGGGCAGGTGGCCTGAGAGCAGCCCCGTGAGTGGCCATGACTCATTAGGACCCGAGCTTCTTGAAAGAAGCTGATCTGCTTCCCGAGGCCTCCCAGCGGCTGTCGCGCCAGGGGCCTCCGCCGACTGTGCAGACAAGACTGTGCAGACAACGTGGAAATTGTAGCTGAGCCGTGGCTCAGGACAGATGCGCCATGGGATCCCCTGGCCTTCCAGGAAGTCCCGCGTGGGGGTCCCCCAGTAGTCCAACGCCCGCCCCCCGCCGCCCCAGGTGCTCCGAGGGCTTAATGAAGCCGGTTCCCCCGCGGCTTCCTCGACACGCACAGCACAGCAGCTGTGGCTGTGTTCACCGCGGGGCGGGAGAGCCTGACTGTGGGAGACGGGACTGCGTGGGAGTCGCTGGCGACCCGGTGGGAGGGCGGGGCCGGGGCTGCAGGGGCGGCTTGGGCAGCGGTGGTGTGGCTATCGCCACCGCCTTGTTTAGAAAGTCCGTCACTCCGGCTACTCCCGCCAGGCCAGGCCAGGTCCATGCAGCGCTGGGGCGCAGCTGCACGTGGCCCCCGGCTCACCGCTGGCCCACCGGCGCCCTGCTGCTCGGCGGGCAGCTCTGAGCGCTCCCTCCAGAGGGCGAGGGGCCCCTGGCACCTGTCCAGGCTTCGGGTGGGGTTCTGGCGTGTCCAGGGAGAGGCCTGGGAGTGGGGGCTCATCTGGGAAAGCGAGGAGAGGACACAGTTTCCAAAGACGACAACGTGGAAACAAAGATGAGATTTCCAAGAGTAACTGCGTTTTTCTTTTTCCCTCAAATTGTGCAACACTTGGCAACTCGCATGTCACAACAAACCACTTCGTGGGAGCCACCCTCTGGCCTGCGGCCGCTCTGTGCTCACCAGCTCTCGTGGTCTCTCTCCCTGGGCCCCGGGACCCCACAGACCCCGGCCCCTCCGCAGCCACCTGGGGTGGGCTCCTTCCCAGCGTCTCTGGGGACACAACCTGGTGTCGCCTTGTTTCCCACTGAGCGTCTCTGATTTCACAGTGAATCGCGTGCAGTGGCAGCTCCCAGCAGTGCCGGGCCCAGGGGCGGGGAGCTGGCCTCGAGCTGGGCGCTGTGTCCCGTCCCCTGGGACCAGCCTGTCCCTGCTGGTGCAGAGGAGGGCCTGAAACCAGGCCGTCGCGGGTGCCAGGGTTGTCCTGAGCTTCCTGCCCTGCGAGGTTAACGCTGGACAAGCCCCAGAGCAGCTGGAGTTCTGCGCTGGGTGGGGCGAGTTCGCTGGCGGCGAGACTCTCAAAAGGGGCCCACCGGGCCCTCTGACCCTCATCGGCAGGTGCCCCCGGCACCATGGGAGGCGGCTGCCGTCGTTCCTTGTCGTTCCTTGTCGTTCCCTGTTGTCCTCTGCGGTTCCTTGCTGTAGTCTGTGGTCTCCATGACGAAAACGGGAAGAGCCACACTGTGGGATTCTTGTCCATCTGGGGGTTTGTGGCGTTTGTCCCGGGGGGTGGAGCGGTGCCTAGCGATTGGTCGCCTAGCTGTTGATGACGAGCCTCCCTTTTCAGGGACCCCTCATTAAACGCTGCACCTTGGCTCCCCCCAGACCCTTGGCTGTAGAGGAAATAGGGCACACCCTCCGGGCCCGGGTCGCGCCCCTGAGCTCGCGTGCCATTTGCCATCGTCCTGTGTGGGTCCTGACCCCGAATGTGGCGCCCGCACCCTCGTGCACAGAAAGCGTTCAGACGGTCGGCAGCACTGACGATGTCAATCAACGTGAGATGAGGTGGGAAGTCTCCTTGCATCCTCTTCTCCCCGACGTGTCCCGGGGACTTCCGGGCCCTTCCACCTCCGATGCCAGCAAGACCAGGGCGGGGGTGTGACTGGGTCGCCGGCGTGCAGGTGGGCGGGGACCCTCCGGGGCCTGGGGCGCATGTGGAGCACGGCCCCTTCTTTGTGGAAGCGAACCGTGATCATAGCCCAGCTGAGCACCCCTTGCCCTCCGTGCTGAGCGTCTCATGGGGTCCCCAGAAGCTCGGTCCTCGGCTGCCCTACCCCGGCTCCCAGGCCTCGTGCAGACCCTGATTCCAGCTCCCCCCGCCCTCATCCAGCTGTTTCCACTCAGCATCCCTCCCTCGTCCAAGCCCCTGCGTTTCCTGCCCCTCGTCCTGTATCGGGCGCGGGGGCTGCGGGTGGGCAGGTGGCCCGTGGGTCCCGTGGACCAGCCCCTGCTGTGTTCTCCTTGCCCGGCCTGGTCGGGGGCACAGGCTGGGTTTCGCCCAAGTTGGGGAGGGCGGCAGTCGCTAGGCAACCCGGAGTTTGTTTCCCAGGTGACGGGATGCCTGCACTGATGCTGTGGGTGGACATCTCGGGGTGCAGCCCCTCCGCCTCTGCGGGGGGCCTCGGGGGGTGGCACTGGTTTTCCTGTGCGGGTGCTTTTCAAGTGACAGCTTGGATTTCTTACCATGACCGGGGGCTCGGGGAGCACTGTCCAGTTAACCTCCTGCCGGGGCGCCAGGGAGGCAGGCCGGGGTGCTCCTTACCCGAGAGGAGGGGCCCCCGGCGCAAGGGAGCCCGGCTGCCACGCTGGGCTGTGTGGTGCGTGGGAGAGGGGGGAGAGTCCAGCAGGTGGGAAAGGCTGGCTCGCCTTTTCCTTGGTGGACATAGGGGCTTTACGGTGGGACCCTGAGCAGGGCCGGGGCGGGGACACCAGCCGCCCGCCTTGCAGCTGCTCGCCCTGCGCCTCGGGTTCCTCGTCTGTTCGAGGGGCTGGCAGTGAGAGGGTGACTTCCTCAGGGAGTGACTGCCCCACGTCCCTCTCAGCAGGTCGGGGGGAGGGGTCCAGGGGTCCTGTCTGAAGACATCACCCTGGGTTTTTGTGCACAACACACACCCCTCCCCAGCCCCGCATGGGACAGACCAGCCGGTGGGGGGTGGGGGCCAGGGCTGGCTAAAACAGGCGTCTGGGGGGCCCTGTTCCCTGGTACAGGGGCTGTTGGGGTTCAGCTGCATGGGACATCTGCTGCTTTGGGCGCCGGGCCCTGGGGGGCTCACCTGCTGCTCGCAGGCTGGGAGGGACCGAGGTGGCCTGTGCCCCTGGCCACGCTTGACCCTTCTTCTGGGGCCAGAACACAAGCCTTTGTGCTGCGGTCAGAGGTGATTGCCCGGAGAAGCTGCCACTGCGGCCCAGGGGCGCCGTCCAGGTCAAGGCCTACGTGCGGTGACCGCGTGGGCCCCTCGGGGCTGCGGCTCCCGGCAGGGTCCCCCTCACGCCTGGGGCCGCCGGGAGCTGAGCCCGTCCGGTGCGTGAGAGGCACTGGCCACACAGATGAGCCAGGGCTCCTGCCCCGGCTGCCCGAGGCGCCCACCGCCACAGGGTCACACTCGGGCCGGCTAGCCCCAGGTTGGCACATGCTCCCGCCGAGCCTGGTGGCCCGGGTGGCCGCTCCAGACGAGGACGCGTAGAGTCTGGGCAGGAGGGAGGAGACAAGGCAGGCCGGGCCCAGCCAACACAGTGGCCGCCGTCGGGAGTCACGGGTCACCCGAAAGCTCAAGAACACGGAGAGCCGCCTGTTCTCACTCGTCCTCTGGGGCACGAGGCATTTCCGACTGGATGAGAGACACGGAGTTGCCTTGTCGTGGCCGGCTCGGTGCCGCTGCCCCTCCTGAAGCCCGGGCGCAGTTCTCACGTGGCCGAGGGGGGCCCGTGATGCAATGGGGTGGGCGGGCGGGCGGACGGGAGCAGCCCACAAAATCCAAGGCCTGCCAGTGCGTGACTCCAGAGGGGGTGCTTTGATTGGAAAAATGCTGCTTCTCAGTCACCGAGGAGAATGGCCGGGGCCAGCGTGTCTCCCTCTGTGTGGGCGCCCTGGGGGGCGCCGACAGGGCAGTGGCCCCCGCCGCCGCCCGGTCCGACGGGAACCCTGGAGGCTCCCCCCCACCTGGGCGGGTTGGGGAGGGCCGGCCCCGCCTGTGCTCCCTGCCGCGGGGTGGCCGCCCAGGCTGGCCTCACGCCGGGTGAGCGCAGTCTCTCTCTCGTGCTGTGAGACTCCGCACGCTCCCCCAGGTCCCCTGCAGGCCCTCACACACACCTGCTCCACAGCCACCCAGGGGACGAGCACGGGGACAGAGAGGGGGCCCCGCGCCATTGCCACCGGGGCTGCATGGGCACCGGGGTGGCCCTCCCATCCCATCCCATCCCCTGTTCAGAAGGGCAGTGGGGTGGGTGAGGCCGGGGGCACGGCCCACTCCAGCCTCGGGGGAGCCACGGGGGCCCGCCGCCGTGCGGTCCCCGGTGGCAGCCACAGCTGTGGCCTTGAACAGATGCCTTGGCCCAAGGTCCACATGACCTCGGGGTCTGCACCAACGGGGTCCTGTTTGCTGAGGCCCAGGTCCCCAGCTGGATCCCCACCCCCAACAGCAGGCGGTGTCTCACCTTCTTCAGCCGAATGCGTGTCGCAGGCATCCTCACACGGCCGCCTCGGCTTGTCCCAGACCTCTCCCGACAGCTAGCTCCACAGAGCTGCCGGCTCCCGGTCGGCCCCAGGAATAGGCGGGGAGCAGCTGGGGCCCCGCAGGCCCGATGGGTGTGTGGGCGGTGGGGCGGGGCGGGGCTCCTCAGCGGGACCCAGGCAGGTGGGTGGCGCTGGCCACTTTGCCCGCCCACCAAGCCCACCCCCCCCTGCCCCACAGGTATCCGCCCCCAGATCATGAACGGCCCCCTGCACCCCCGCCCCCTGGTGGCGCTGCTGGACGGCAGAGACTGCACTGTGGAGATGCCCATCCTGAAGGACCTGGCCACCGTGGCCTTCTGCGACGCGCAGTCCACGCAGGAGATCCACGAGAAGGTGGGGTCCCTCTTCCCACCCTCCGAGCACCCCAGCTAGTCCCTCTCACCTCCCTCCAGACGTCACCCCCTGTCCTGCCTCTCCACCCCCGATTATGTCGCCAGAGTCACCAGTGGGCCACTCGTCAGGGGCGTGGGGGGCCTCCAGCCTGTGCTCTGCTCGCCCGTGGCAGGTGTTGAACGAAGCCGTCGGCGCCATGATGTACCACACCATCACCCTCACCAGGGAGGACCTGGAGAAGTTCAAGGCCCTGAGAGTGATCGTGCGGATAGGCAGCGGCTACGACAACGTCGACGTCAAGGCCGCTGGGGAGCTGGGTGAGTGCGCGGCCAGCGGGCCTGGTTCAGGCGCTGAGACCACAGGACCGTTGCCCTGGCTGCGGCTGGAGGGGGGTGAAGAGCCCTGGGGCCGTGGCACTGGCCTCCCCCGGGAGCGCGCGGGCTGGGCGCACCGCCCTCGGCCCCCGCGCTGGGGGGCCCTGCTCCTGGCTCCCTTCCAGTCCTGGGTGGTGCCCTCTTCCCAAGTCCCCTGCCCAGGTCAGCAGGGGGACCACACTCCCAGTCATGGTGTCTCCCGTCCCAGCCCCTGGTGGCTCCTTGCACCCAGAGCGCTGGCAGCCAGGGTCCCCAGCTGTCGTACTCTTTGGGAGAGGATGGAAAGGTCCTAGACAAGCCCCTCTGGTCACCGTGCCTGCTCTGATTTTGAAGCATGGCAGCCCCGCGCCTGGCGGGGGGTGCTGAGCGCTGCCTGGGGAGCCCGAGGCTGCGACGGGCACCTCAGGAGGGTAGGAGCCCAGGCCATTCCAGCCGCCAACCCTCGGGCTGTGTGGAGGCCCCGGGGGGGCCCAAGGGCAGCCTGGCCTGGTTCACGTGCCACTGAACCCCCAAACCACTCCCCGGTTCAGCCACCCAGCCCCACCAAGCCCGCCGACCTGAAGAATGGCCTGGAAAGCTCCATCTCCAGAGGGTGCCTGAGGCTGTGGTGTCTCTGGAGGGCGGGCAGTCCCCACGCCGCCAGCCGCCCCGCCCTGCCCCTGGTCTGGGCTCTGCACGCAGGCTCTGGGCCTGGGGCCCGGTCTCGCCCCTGGGGAAGCCCTCCTGCTGGGCTTCAGCCGGAGCTTCGCGGCCCCTCCAAGAACACGCATCGTCCTGGCTGCCTGAGCCTCCTCTCAGGCCTCCGGCTTCTGCCTCCGTCTGCCTGACAGCGGGGATGTTTCCGGGGCTACTCGCCCCACCCCAGGCCTGGCCATCTCTAGTGGAGGCGGCCGCAAGGTCACCGCCTGCAGCTCAGGGAAGTCTACCTGCCTCGGCCTCGTACGGCACTGTCCCCTGCCGTCGCTGTGGTGGCCGGGTGGGTGGAACGAGGTGCTCACGGGCCCTGGCTGGCACTCTCGGAGCTCCCTGTCCTCCTGAGCGGTCACTGAGATCCTGGGCCTCGGGGCAGCCCTCCTGGGGTCCTGAGTCGGGCGCCGAGAGGGAGCCTTGGAGCTAGGTCTCTGGGCTTCCCGGAGACCATGCGTCTCAGACAGCTGCTTGGCTGGCCGACCCTAGGCTGGCCTGTGAGTCCCTGGCGAGGCCCCTGAGGCCTCTGCTGGCGCGGGAGGGCCGTGCGCAGCCTGCGCCCTGCGTGGCAGCCATTTGCGTTCTCCACATACTGCCTGCGCTTCCTGCCCTTGACTTCAGGCCCTGCCCCGGCAGCCCCTCAGCCTCAGCACCTCATGTGGGGACATTCAGCCCCCATCTCTGTTTCCCTCAGAGGCCGTGGGCTTGCCCTGCCCCGCTGCTCTGGTCCCAAGAGCTCCTTTCAGAGGGTGGGGCAGGGCGGGGCGGGGCAGGGCGGGGGCGCCCCAGCTCAGGGGCCCTGTTGGGGGAGGTATCGGTTCCAACTCTCCTTTTCTAAAAGCAAGATCTAACGTGGTTCCTCTGTCCGGCTGGTGAAATGCCCTGAGGCAAAACGCCGGTGCCCATTCCCCAGCCCTGGGGGGGCCGCACGCCAGCCCCTGGCTGCTCTGGGCTGTCACCAGGCTGGCCCCGGCCCCTCTGGCTGCCCACCGCTCACTCCCCAGGGCGGACAAGATGCGAGGTCACTGGGGACTTGGGGGTGAGCCATGTCCTGAATGGAAGCGGAGTGGGGCTCCCCTGAGTATTAAAACCAGAGGGTCTGTGTTCCCCGCGTGACCAGCAGGCCTGAGAGACAGTGACTGACCTGTCTCGAGGCCGCGCACCCAACTCTGCCGCCCCCGTCCTGCAGCCGGGTGGGTGGGCCCTGGGCTCCCGCAGAACTCGGGCTGTGGGGCGGGGGTATAGTCTCATCCCAGGCCCTTGCCCTTCCCAGGGATCGCCGTGTGCAACATCCCGTCGGCGGCCGTGGAGGAGACGGCCGACTCCACCATCTGCCACATCCTCAACCTGTATCGGAGGAACACGTGGCTGTACCAGGCGCTGCGGGAAGGCACACGGGTGCAGAGCGTGGAGCAGATCCGGGAGGTCGCCTCGGGAGCAGCTCGCATTCGCGGGGAGACGCTGGGCCTCATCGGCTTCGGTACGTGCCTGCTCTGCCCTGTCCCCCACCTGCAGGGGCGGCCCTCCCCTGGGAGTGGAAGGTCCCTTCGGGAGAGCCTGTGACAGGTTTGCGTCCCCTGCCCGCTGCCTGGGAGGGAGGTCCGGTCCAGGCTGCTTGGAGGGGAGTGGGTTGGATGTGGCCCGTAGCGGGGCGTGGAGCAGCAGGGAGGTGCTGGCTTGCCGGCAGCCCCGGGAAGTGCTTTGTGGAGAAGCAGGCAGGCGTGGGACTAGCGTGGCGTCTGGCGGTTGAGTGAAGTCTGGACAAGTGGCTAAGGCACGGCACCTGGAGGCCTCAAATGCCAGGCTGGGGTGACGTGACGATCAAGTCACGAGGTGGTGCCCTCCGGTCGTCAGCTTGGAGAGCTCACCTGAGAGTGCGGGCGGGAGAAGCTCCTCCTGGAGGCAGCTGGTGGCCCTGGGGCTCGGGGCCCGTTTCCCAGGGAAGGCGCACCTTGATGGGGAGCACCCCGAGGCCTCTGCTGTCGAACCCCCACGTTGCACATGGTAGGGGCTCGGTGAGCTTGAGGATAGTACTTGGCCTCTGCCTGCCTCCTGGCCTGTCAGTGGGGATGGAGTGGCGGAAGGCGGGCGCGCGGCGCGCCGGCCGGGCTTCCTGAGGCTCCCAGGCCGACCTCAGCAGGAGCTGTGTTTGCAGATGACCGAGGGCAGCGCCTTCGGGTGGAAGCAGCGGGCTCTCCCCCAGGTGCAGGTGGGCATCTTCCGCTCCAGGTCTGAGCAGAAGAACCCAGACCGCAGCGATCACCCAGGAAGGCGGGCTTTGCGTCCCCTGCTGGGCCTGTACAGAAGGCAGGGGCTCTGCGGGGGCCGCAGCGCCCTCTGCTGGGCGCTCGGTTTCCCTGGGGCTCGGGCAAGGAGCTCTTTCTTCGGAGTCGGATGTTCTTAGAACCTCATGGTTTGCCTTCAGCAGGGACCTCGGGCCGTGTGTGAGTGGCCCGGCCACGTGGTGGCAAGCCTGGTGGCAGGACACTTGTTTCAGGGGCATCTGCCTCCAGCCATCCCAGCGAGTTGTCCCTGCCACCGTCCCATCCCCCGCGCACACTGTGGCATCTCCTCGCTGCCTTGTCAGGGAGGTAGGGTCCCAGGCAGCCTTTCGCTGCTGCTGCTGCTGCTGCTGCTGCTGCTGTTCAGGCTGAGCCGCAGCGGCCACAGCCACCCCGAGGGAGGGGCTTAGCCGGGGGTGGGGTGGTCGGGTTGGCGCCATGGGCAGAAATGTGAAGGGAAAGCCGGCCAGTGGTAACAGCGTCTTTTCTTTTAAAGGCTGTGTAGGTAACGGAATTGCATTTCAGGTCCTAACAATCTCCCGTTCGAGTGCAGCAGGCCCTGGAAGTGCAGACAGCCCGACAAACGGGGCGGGGGGAGGGCGTGAGCCTGTTGGGCCTGAGGGGACGAGGTCCCTGCCGAGACTCCCTCCGTCCAGCCGTGCCATTCAGCACACCCGCCCTCCGCCCCTCCACTGGTTCGCTGGGTCCCGGGGGTGACACTGCAGAGGGGTGAAGAAAAACGGCCTGCCGCTGGCCCTGCAGCTGCCCCCTGCGTCAGAGCGGCCTGCTTACGCCTGTGCCCGCAGACTACGCAGTCGTCAGTCACGCCCGTGGGTCACGGCTCGGCAGGCAGTGGACAGCCCACCCACGCCCCTTCCGGGGGATGCCCGTTTGGAGTGGCCCCGTGCTCTCGTGCTCCTCCCTCCCTGCGTGTCTGAGCCCTGGTTCTGGAGAAAGGTTTAGTCTGCTTATCCCAAGTCAGCCCCATTTCAAGCATCGAACTGCGCTGGGAAGCCGAGGGCACTGTCCCTGGCTCAGGGTTTGTGAACACTGGCCACCGCGGGGGGCGGGGGGGCTTCGTTTCCTGCGTTGGTGGCAGTGGTCTCCCACTTGCTGAAGGTCCCTCCGCCACAGTGATTTTCCACAGCACTTTTAGAGCCGGTTTGGCTATTTTACTCATTCCATGAGCAAACCCCGTGATCAGTGAAGAAATGAAGCCCAGCCACAGCTGGTGTGGCTCAATAGCTTGAACAACAGCCTGCGAACCAAAAAGGTCACCGGTTCACTTCCAAGTCAGGGCACATGCCTGGGTTCCAGGCCAGGCCCCCAGGTGGTGTGTGAGGCAACCAATCGATGCACATGGAGTTCACTTAAACACGGTTCTGGCCTAGATGTGACAAGCACTGCGTCCTCACCCTGAAAGCTTGGGCCCCGGGAGACCTGGAGTGCCAGCCTAGAGGCACCAGGCCTTCTGCAGCGTCTGGCGGCAGCCTCAGGTTGATCCAGCTGCCTTCAGGGACGGCAAGCGCAGGCTCCAGGTCCCAGCAGTAATGGAGGCCGCAAGGCTGGGGCGCCACGCAAGCCCCCGGCATCGGGAGCCCATGCGTGGCGGGAGAGGCCACACACTCGCTCACTGGGACGCTCTCTCTGCACAGGTCGCACAGGGCAGGCGGTCGCTGTTCGAGCCAAGGCCTTTGGATTCAGCGTCATCTTTTATGACCCCTACTTACAGGATGGGATAGAGAGGTCCCTGGGTGTACAGAGGGTCTACACCCTGCAGGACTTACTCTATCAGAGCGACTGCGTCTCCTTGCACTGTAATCTCAACGAACATAATCACCACCTCATCAATGACTTTACTATAAAGCAGGTAATTTGTAATAGACGCCCTCAGGCCCTGGCAACTTCTAACAAAATGAAAGGGGGCGGGAAATGGTCCACGGACACTGCCAGCGGGCAGGGAAGAAAGTCCCCTGAGATGTATCAGCAGTGGGGGGGCGGGGGGGCCCCCTCTGGGGACACGCCCTGTTGAGCAGGAAGGGCCCAGGCGGACCCCACATCTGTCCAGGCCTAGCCTCCAGCGGTCATGAAACGCCACTGTGGTCTGTGGCCGCCCCTTTGAACCATCCCCCTCCCCCCTCCCCACTCCCCTTCCTCCCGCAGATGAGGCAAGGAGCGTTCCTGGTGAACGCAGCCCGCGGTGGGCTGGTGGACGAGAAAGCCTTAGCCCAGGCCCTCAAGGAAGGCAGGATACGAGGGGCGGCTCTCGACGTGCACGAATCGGAGCCTTTCAGGTGGGTCTGGCAGGCAGCGGCGGGGTGTGGCCTGCGTTCCGGGATTCTCATCTGACCCTGCATTTTGGGGCCCTCTCCCAGACAGACAAGTCCTAGGTAGGACCCAGTTCTTTAAGGACTGGAGTGTGTTCTCACTGTCAAGGGCCAGAAGGTTATGATGGGGGGGGGGGGGGTAGGGTTGGCTTGCCAGGGTGCGGCCCCCCGTGTACCCTGCACTACCGAGCCTGCTCCCAGGCAGGCCGGCCCTCCGTTGAGTTCCGTGTCTCCCCCCCGCCCAAGTCCCTGATCACCCCGACACTAATTACAGAACGGTTTTATAAGAGTCCGCGAACCCCTGACCCCCTGCAACCACGGCTGGCCCCGGCCCCGGCCCGCGGTCGAGCAGGCCAGGGAGTGGGGTGCGGTCGGCTTTTCTTACGCCGTGTTTTTGTGCGCTCGTCTAGCTTTGCTCAGGGTCCCTTGAAAGATGCACCGAATCTCATCTGTACCCCCCACACAGCCTGGTATAGTGAACAGGCGTCACTAGAGATGAGGGAGGCTGCCGCCACGGAGATCCGCCGGGCAATCACAGGTGAGCCCGCCCGCAGCGCGGCCTCGGGTCTTGCTCTGGGCGGAAGGTGGGTTTCAGGTTGGTTGACTTGTGAAGGAGCTGGACCCTGTTGATGCACGTCCCAAACTAAATTTAAGAGGAAACCAGTTTCCTTTTGGATCGACCAGTGTAATGGTCACAAACCGGGGAGGGCGGCCCTCCCCCCAGGGCGCAGGGGCCCCCTTCTGTCCCGGCCGAAGACCCGAGTTGAAGCGCTCAGGGCTCCGTGTTTTGTGAAACTCCATGGGCCGGTCCCTCGATCAGAGTAAGAGACTTTATGAACAGTTGTAATATTTAATTCATTTCCATTGTAAAAAGTACATGTGATTTTAATCATCTTATTTCAGGTCGCATCCCAGAAAGCTTAAGAAACTGTGTGAACAAGGAATTCTTTGTCACGACCGCTCCCTGGTCAGTAATAGATCAGCAAGCAATCCACCCGGAGCTCAATGGTGCCACGTACAGGTGAGGAGAGGGAGGGGCCGAGCCCGGGCAGGCTAACCCAGCCTGGCCTCGAGGGCCCGCTTAGGAGGGGCCCAACCGGTGAGCGCCCTGCAAGGCACCACACTTCATTCTGAAGCCACTTGAAAGCCACAGGGTTGGGGGGGGGGGGGGGGGATTGAGACTGTCGCTGATCTTGTTTTCCAGTTTGAATCCTCTGCTGTCAGACCAGGGAGTTTAATTCATTGTCAGTTTGCAGAGTTCTGTTCCCCCAAAGCGGCTGGGTCCCACAGAGCAGCAGCGACACCCTTAAACCCCTGGAGGAACAGAACGCTGGCAGGTTGGGCTGGCCCGCTCCCTGGGGGCCTGTGCTATGCCCTGTAGGCAGGGCAGGGCATGTAGTTGACAGCCCCCCAACCCTTTAACCCTGCGGGGGTTGCGGCTGATCTGAGAAATAAATACAAACTCTCCTCTTAAATACTGGGTACATAGGTTCCAGGTCATGACTAGCTGCGAAGGAAATTCTGACGACATAGATACAGCTCCCTTGACAAGCAGGAAAAGAAAAAGATGTTAGGTGCTATGCATCTAAAACAAATCGCTTATCAAAATATTTTTGCAAGTGTTGTAAAAACTATTTATGCCTTGAGCATAGCCATGTTGTATGCATTGACTGTTACATTTTGCACAGCCAACTATTGAAGATTCTCATTGAAGACATCTTTCAGTTGTATTTTTTCAGCAATATCCATGTTTGTTATTTGAAAAGAAACAGTTCTCTTACTGTTTCTACATTTCTTTAATAATTGTAATTGAAAATAAAAATATGTATATTATGTAAGTATAATAAATTTTCATTGTTTCTGTATTTCAGCACAAACTAGTAATGAATGTATCTCAGATACATGTGACCTATGCTCTACATGTTTTTGAGGTTTTTACTTTTTTTGTATTTTAGAGAGAGGAAGAGAAACATTGCCTCTCACACACCCCCAGCTGGGAACCTGGCCCGCAACCCAGGCATGTGCCGACTGGGAATCGAACCAGCGGTTCACAGGCTGGCGCTCAATCCGCTGAGCCACACCAGCCGGGATAATGCTTTAAGTTTTGGCAGGCGCCTCCGCAGGGTTAAGGGCCCCATCCTGATCGTTCCTTTCCATGGAGCCAGGCTCCATGCTTGCACTTGGGGGGCTCACAGGATCCCACCCACCAGCGTCCTCCCTCACCCCACTGCCCCAGTTGTAAAGCTCCGGCCTCGTAGGCATGGCACACTGAGTCTCGCTGTGCGTAAGAGCCCTACGTTCAGGGGTGGCTACATGCCACAGGTCCCCACACAGCAACTCATGCTGCAGTTCCCAGAGAGTCCTCAGGAGGGCCTGCGCAGAGCCTCTGGCACTGAGCGCTGGGAGGGGGTGGGGGGGGGCCGCAGCTCTGTGCTGCCAGTCGGGGGGTCATTACATCTGTCTGTACTAACGAGTACTTTGCACTAACTGTTTCCAAACACAGGGCAGCGTCCACAGGCAGCCTAAGCAGGAGTGACTCGGGTGGTCTGAGAGCTACCAAGTTAGTGGCCCAGAGTTTTCATTGAAATTTTAAGATTTTTTTTACATAGGTTTACTCCTTGCTTTGGGGTTTGATGACAAGTCACCCCATCCATACAAAAGGCCAGAAGCAGGCAGAGCCGAAGCATGAGGATGGCCACCCCGGACTTACCCGCCCCTTCTCTGTGTTCCTCAGATACCCGCCAGGCATCGTGGGCGTGGCCCCCGGCGGACTCCCTGCGGCCATGGAAGGGATCATCCCCGGAGGCATCCCGGTGACTCACACCCTCCCCACAGTGGCTCACCCCTCCCAAGCGCCCTCTCCCAACCAGCCCACAAAGCACGGGGACAATCGAGAGCACCCCAACGAGCAATAGCAGAGGATGACAAACGGTCAGCTAAACCTGGGACCAAGAGACAGTGACCTAGATGAACTAAGAGGAACGGAGTGTGAGTCTTTTTAACTGACCCTGGACATGCGCGCCATTGACGTCGCGGTGTTAAAACTACAAAAGAGCTAGAAGCTGAGACGTGGGAAAACGGAAGCTGCCTCCTACTTACGGAGGCCCTGAAAGACTAGGACGTGATTTATTAACGACCAACTTCTGTTATTGTGTGTTAATTTTTTCATCTGTGCATCAAATCACAAAGAATAAATAGATCTTTTTCCTTTATCAGTCCCTCGGGCACAGCAGGTCCTGAACACCTTGCTATATAGAATGTTGCGTCGAGAGTTCCAAACATCAAAATAAAAGTTGTAAGAGGCCATCCCCATCCTGTGACTCTGGTCCCTTCAGTCCATGGGGGCTGGTTACCTCTTTTGCAAATAGGAAAATTAAATTGCTACAAAATGGGGAGAAAACTGTCTGCCTGTGGTGTTAGACAACTTCACTGCAAGCACAGGACTGAAGACGGTCCAGGCTCCCGTACCAGCAAGTCTCCCACCTGAACTGCACACTGAGCGGGCGAGTTGGTTGTGAGTTCAGTGATATACCCTCTAATGATGCAAAAAAGAAAAAAAAAAGTATTAAGTTTCACAAGCTGTTTGTACTCAAATATATTTTCTCAGTTCAGATCCTCAGCTATTTTATTGAGTGGAAAGTCTTGAACTGAAAGGGTTCAAGAAGAATAATGTTGCATTTCCTTATGTCTCAGGAAACACTTTTTATGGTAACTTGTCAGATTGTCTATGAACAAACCCACTTTTTTAGACATTGATAAAGTCTTCTTTTCTTCACGTGATATTTTATACAAGAACACTTCAGGTGTGTTATTAGATGTGACTGATTTTAACAAATCCTATTAGATTTGTATCAACTAGTTACATGTTATATTCATAGTCTTTTGTGAATCATCGCTTTTTGTTTAAAAGATGGCCTATTTTGAGCCTTTGTATAGGTACATTCCTGTTTTTGTGACAAAAACCTTTAAAACTGTCCCAACAGAAAAATAATGGCTATCAGAAATGTTTTGTTTTAGTGTGAGTTACCGTTACTGTATTTGTTTATTGTAAAGGTGGACATTTAGCGTTCAGTGCAGTTTTCAATAAAAAGTAATAAAAATTTCTGTTCTGAAATTCAAGTACATCTCACCAATGTAAAAGTTCTCTACTTGAGATGTTTGAAGGCAACTGCATTTTCAAATAGCCAATTTTCAACTCTCGTTATTCCAGGGTTCAAACATTAAGTCCTTTCTATCTGCCTAGTCCATGACCAGACTCAAGAATGCTGGCAATTACCTCCTGTGATAGAGTTTGACCGCAAAAATAAGCCCATCACCATCAAGTCGTGCCATTCTTAAGATGAGACAGTAGGTTAGAATTCAAGAAACAAAATTGGTTAAGTTTTAGAGTTTTGATTTTAATTTACCCAAAGGCAAAATCACCTGGCTCAAGCATTAATGCAGGAAGGTGAATCTCAAAATCCTTTTTTAAAACAGTATTTACAGAGAAATGTTGCAAAATAACATCAGCCACTTCCATACGTTAATAATTTAAGTTGACACAACGGATCTTCCTCATTGACCAGCACTGAACCCTCTGCACTAGCAGAATCCGCACGCGTCAGTTGAGTCCAGCCGCGCCACGTGCCGTTCTCCCTCTGACCCCTTCCTCACCCTTCTCATGCCATTAAAAATGAAGTTACAGCATCAGGAAGTACTGGCCTCATGGCTCATTTTAAGGCAGCGGTCTCATCGCCACTCTGCCGTGACAGGTCACCCGAACCCGCTGCACGGGGGTGGAAACGGAGCTCACGGCTGCTGGCCTACCCCTCCAGGAGTGGAAGGGTAAGCTCATCATCATCTTCATAGCCACTTGTCAAAGAGGCAACCCACACGGGGGCGACAGGTGCACACAAGGAGACCCCCGCCGCCTGGGAGAGCAGCGTTCCCTTTACACACGAAGTCTGGGACACCGAGCCTAAGAGTCACCAGAAAGGCAGGTCCAAATCCATGGTGCGCCTGGACTGTGGTTAGTGCAGACACCACCACACTGCAGCCTCCCGAAAGAAAGCGCCGTCGCGTCCGTACAGTCCGGGTATCACTGTCCAGTCGATCAAAAGACACGTCTGTCACCTGGTCACACTGTAACCTTTAGGGAAGGACTACACACACTATCTTGGGACAACAAATATGGCTGTTTAATAGTTCAAGAGCTTAACACAGCATTGATTCACCCAAAATGCTGGCCTTCACGCTGCTGTGAAGGCCATTCAGAGCCCATCTGCGTATGGGCCCAGGACATGGAAGCTATAGTCTTTCCCACAGGGAAGAATGCTGTACCTGTTAGCCTAGATGTGGTCAGGGCCACCGGTCATAAATAAATAAATAGAGGCACCTCGGGGAACACCACTCAGCAGGCCGACACCCAGCCAGGGCCCTCTGGCGGCGCCACTTCAGCGTGAGCCACGGCGCCGGCCCGGATGCTTTTGCCTCACACGTCCCTTTGGCTGCTTCAGTTGGGAAGGTCGTGTCTGCTTACACAGCAACTATGATAGCATCTCTACCTGCGAAAGGATCGCTCTTACACATGGAGGGAGGTTTACAGACATGCTACGCGCTAAGTAGTCAGGCACCCTGCTTTTAAAAAAAAAGAATTTGATTAATTACCAAAATGAAAGCAAACCACAGAAAGTCAACTTGTGAGAAAATATTAACCACTTGGAACAGTAATATTTACATTATAACATGTCACAATGGGTTTATGTGGAATCAAACAGCAAAGGGTCTCCTGCCAGCATCAGCATGCAGCGGAAGGGTCTGTCGGGGCGGCCACACCTCACGAGGAAGTGCTTGGAGGGGGAGAGCTGAGGGCGGGACACCTCCCGGCCGGCTCGCTATTTTAATTACTCAAATCAAATGTAAGGTTGTGCACATTTCAGTGTCATCTAAACAGAACGGAGAAGAAAATGAGAAGCAAATATTTAAGTTTTCACAGCCTTTTCATCAAAGGGAAGGAAAAGTGTGCGTGTGCGCGTGTGGACGGGGCTTCTTTCCAAACTCTGCCATGTCGACAGTCTACAAAGTGCGTGTCAGGACACCAAGCCTGTGTGTTCCTGAGATAGGTCTGACATTTTTACCCATACTGAATGTATACCTGAAGTGATCAAAAGATACTTCTTATGAAGCCTTTCTATCTAAGATTATAGTTTTAACTTTAAATAAGAATGGCCACAATTAACCAACATGCAAACATTCTCAGACTACTCACCGAGAAATCCATTAACACAATGCATTTTTACCACCTTTCTGCATTTTTAAATCTTTATTCTGTACTGAACTGGTGCTCCCAATAAGCCCAAGCAAAGGCATGCCTTTCTAACACAATTCGCTTAAAGCAGAGTTGATGATAAAACACAGTAAGAATCCCAAGAGCCTCTGCCTGGCAGTTTGGGAGCACAGCACTGCCAGCGGAGCCAAGGGAGCCGATGCCACCCCACTCGCCCAGGCGGGAGCACTTCCCTACCGTGTGCCCAGGGAAGCTGTTCCCAAGGAGACAGCTGCCCGGAGTCTGGCGGAAGAACCCTCGTATTCAGGGCATTCTCTCAAATACCTACATACTGAGGGGGCGTATCAAATTTAAAAAACAAAAACAAAACAAGGGAGCGATATCTTTATAAAGTTCACTCAAAAAATTCTTATTTCCTTTTAGTTTGTTCCTTAAAGATTTGATTTTATTGGGCACAACAGGAACTAAATTTGTAATAAAATAAGCTTGTTTTTATTTTTATGTTTTCCTGTGGACAATTTGTACAAAAAGTTTCCAAATCTCTATGGAGCTCTAGTGAGACTTGATGTAAAATGGATCTTTTAAGATGCAAGTAGAATAATGCCAGGTTCTACTTAAAAAAACCCACCTCAGAGGGACGGAGCCACCTGCCGTGTGCTTTGGAGGTGCCCACGCTGGGGAAACTCCTCAGTAACATGAAGGTGCTGGTACAGCTTTTCCTATTACACAACTTCTTGCACAACCACATGCGTTACATTTATAGACAGATTTACGATTTGAAAGGAAGAGTGCTGTCTTAACGAAATTCGTTTTTTACAGACTAGTCCAAACGAAGTTCTCGGTGTCCTTGCTCGGCAGACGTGCCGCCTCCACTGGGCACGGATCCGAAAACAACCCCCCCCCGCAGCAGGTCCGGCTGGGTCTGCTTGCTCCACACTACGCACGCTGCTTGGAACACCACGCTAACTTTGGGGTCACTACAGAACTGATACCTTGGTCTTCTGCTTGTTGGCTTTTTCATTCGTCTTCATCGTCTTCATCTTCCTCTCCATCAGACAGGGATGTACAAGGCCGGATCTGTCGGTAGCGGTCAAGCCACTTTTCTACCATGTGCGTGACCAGGGGGTGGTTCCGCCGCCGAGAGCTCTTCTGCATGGCAACGAGGACGCCCCCCTCGGTCACGCAGCAGTCGAGCCACTCCCTGAGCAGTTTCTCCTGCTGCTCCTCGTTACCGAGCTGTGAGGGGCGTGTGCAGAACAGGAAAAGACAGCAGGTCAGAGGCTTCGTAGAAAAACATTTCTGGCATCATCGCGTTTAAAAAAGCCCAAGCAATAAACCATTTTATCACGGTTTCAACCTCTCGTCAATTTGACAATGAAAACCCAGTTTCCTACTGTCAGACACAAAGAGACATCCATAGGGAAAGTCACTCAAAAACCTCAAGGGAAGGAAAAGCTGGTGGTCTGGTGTAACAGCAAAAAACAAATGTCTTACTAGACATTTTAAGACATCATTAAGCTAATCTGGGCAAAGGCTAAAAAAAAGTCACAGCTTCACACACAAAGCAAGGTAAGTTTACTCTGTAAATTACCTAGAGGCTGAAGTTACAAAAATTATGGTCTATGAATCTTTCTTAATGTCATTATAAAAGTTTTATAATAATTACTAGCATATTAAATAAAAGAACGATAATTTTATAAGAACATGGGTTTTCTGAGACGTTCTTTCTCACGTTCTCACCACCCCCTCCCTGGATCTGCAACCTGGTGTGCCCTGCTCCCGCCAGCACCCTGGCATCGAATCCCAGCCGGGCAGGCAGGCAGCCGGCCTCCCACAGGCTGTCACCAGCCCCGCCCCCACCAGCAGAAAGGAATCATCCTGGAAGGCTGCGGCGGGCCCCACACGGCAGCTTCGCCCAGCCTCCCCCAGATTCTGCAAGAGCCACTGCTCTTCCAGCTCTTGGTGCGGGTGTCACCTCCTCAGGGAGGCTGCCCCTTCCCACCTAATTTAAATCACGAACCCCTGCCCCCTTTACCCTCCCTGGCCCCTCACCCTGCTTTTTACTTTTCTTCTGGGCGCTCACCGCCCCCCCGAGGGGAGGGCCTTCTGTCTTGGCCTCACTGCCGCGCTTCCACACGACGCATCTGGTACTGCAGCTCTGACCAGTGTTTCAGAAAGGGACGGCGACTACAACCACATTCCAAAGCGTAACGTGTGCCCTACGCTGGGCTCTGCCACAGCGTCACTGTGTTAAGTAGCTAAGAGGAGAAACACGCCTTACCTCCTGAGCAGAAAGAAAGTGCACGTGGAGTAGCTTCCTTTCACTGTCGACCAGAGGCAGAAAAGTGATGGTGACGTCATCGTCGGTGTTCAGGTTAGCACCAGCACCTCGGTTGCCGTAGCCATCATTTTCCATGGCAACCAAAGCAGAGAAGTGGCCTCTTGTATAGCCCAGGGCAATGGGACTTTTCCAACAAAAACTCTGTTCCCACAACAACGGCAAATACACCCCTGGAAAGAGGGAAGAAAAATCACACTCAGATTTTCAGGATGTGGCTACAAACTGAATCATAGTAATAAACAAAAGACTTCAAATATACTTTTGATGAATGGCTTACCTTGAAACCGAGTATATCCTAAAGTTTCTCCCCGGAAACTTTTATAATACTTTACTCCATAAACTATAATTGGTCGTCTAAGAATATGTGCAAGTACAAAAATGTGTGTCTGTTCCAAACTTGCTCCAGGCTACACAGAACAAAATAAAAGAAAGTAATTTCTCTTTAAAACATTACTGCATGCTAGAAAACGTGTGAAAACCCAACGCTACCCTCCTTCGGTGCACTATCTCAATGCATTTTTTTTTTTTTTAAATAATACTGTCAAGCTACATTCAATGTTTGATTTCTCAAATATCCAAGCTCAATAAAATGAAAAGGAGTCTACAGGTTATGTACAGGCACCCTTCACTATCCAAACTCAGGAAGCACACAAATCTGGATAAATACTGGTCTCAGGAACGAGAGATTCAGAGAGAAGGGGATGACCTACGGGACTGCTTCCGGATAAGTGACCTGTAACAGGACTACCTACAAGGTCCTTCCAAAGTACAATTTTCGTTTTCAGTTTTTATTTTAATCACCTAGTTAGAAACATGCTGCTCTACCTGATCTGTAGTGAGGACTTGCTATGGTCATATAGTTAATAAACAACAGTCACAACTGGAACCCAAATGGTTGACCCAGCACTTGCAGGGATTCCGACCACGGGGAGTGCTTTTGTGAAGAAGCAGCGCCTCAAAGCCTTCTTACCTGGCTAGCGAGAGAGAGTATAAATGCCCAGTCTTCTTGCCACTGTTCTTCCCTCAAGGAAAAATGTAAACCAAAGCTCTGAGAATACCATGATTCCCAATCTTTCCAACGTGTATAAAACCTAAAACCAAAGATAGCAAAATGAATGAATGAATGAATGAATGAATAAGCCTTCAGAACACTTAATGTTCTGATCATTTATTTACTGTAACCTTTAGGCAATTCATGTTAAAAGATTAATAATTTTATTATTTTTACCTGGCTTGCAATATATTGTTCAAATTAAAAATGCTTCCACTCTGCCAGCAGCCATCTTTTTGCATACCCAAAATTTGGTTTACCACCCACCAAATTGTCATCAAAACTTCAAACACTCATGATGAGAACAGTTAATTTCAATTGTCTACTCTCAGTCTACAAATTCCACCAAAAACCCCACTCAAGATCATCTGAAATGCTGGATACAATCAAAGACACTACGTTTCTCCATCAACGTACGGTATTCACTACCTGACCACTGTATGAACAACAGACTGGAAACAGCCCATGTGTTCATGAGATTATCCAAGTCACTTCCTTGAGATTCCTCACATTAATACTGTTTTTCTTTGTTCAAAACAATTCCTTCTTTATACTAAAATCCCCTCTACATACTTCACCCTAATAAATTATGAAGACTGAAAATCAAACTGTGGGTCATTTGGTAGACTGAATTACTAAAAACAAAATTAATGCTCTTTATATCAAATATAAACTTAAGCAAAACTAGATACAATTATGCTCAAGTCTGTGATCTGCTGTCTTAGAAAACAATCCAGCCAAGACCTCTGAAGACAGACATTTGCCCTGTTAACATCGCATTTCTCTCTCTCATAAAGAATTAAAAATCCTGGTACTTTTCCTTTATGTATTTGAATTCTAGGTAAAAAAAGTAAAAGACAGAAAAACATCTATTGCTACTGTTAGACGGTTCCGGCACAAAGTAAAGTGAAGTGTGGCATTGCTACAAGTTTCTCTATAGTAACAACGCAAGGCTCCACAAAAAGTAACGGTTACAGAGGTCTCTCTTGGCTGATTAGAAAAATACTGAATAGTTTTCTAGTCCAGGTAATCAAGACTTTTTAAATTAGGAGTCTAAGTTTCAAATGTTTTAAAAATAACAGATACTGCTCTTTTAAAATACCTAAGGAACACGAAAGTATGCCTGAATGCACCAGTGACAAAATACATTCATTTTCACCCTCACCTGAGGACCTACTTTCGGGGTAGGGGGCAGAAACGGCGACTGGCTGCCTGTCTGCGCCTCCCGGCCAGCGAGCAGGCCCATGACCCTTCAGTCTGAAAGATGCCGCTCCGACCAAGCCACCCGATTTCAAGGAGAAGTATCACAAAACATAGGAAGTTGTTACAAACCGAAAGATGCGCACTATTAAAAGTTCCTTGGTTAGGGCCTCAAATCATTTTATAAATGAGATCGCTCGGTCTGCCAGAAATTAAATGATGATAGAGTACTCAAAACTCAAAGAAGATTGCAGAACAAGGAAGTTCCAAAAGATCTACTTTAAAAATAAGCATGTTCAAATAATCACGCCCACCACACAAAGATCTAAACTCTGAAACTGCCTGGCTCGTTAAGAACAGAGAACCAGACCAAATCTAGGAACATGTGATGAAGTGGTTTTAACATTCGAAAATCAACTCCATGTTCATGGATTATAAGACTCAGTATAATCAACCCTATAATCCTCCCCCAACTTAACCTACAAATTTAGTGCAATCTCTATCAAAATCCCAGAGGACTTTTTTTGCAGAAACGAATATGGACCCTAAAATTTATATGGAAATCCAAAGGATTCAGAATAGCAAAAAATAACCTTAAAAAAAGTACAAAGCTGGAAGACTTACATCCTGATCTTTACACACTTACCACAAAGCTACAAATCATCAAGACAGTCTGATGCTGGCTAAAGAGACATACAGATCAACAAGAAAAAAAGGAGTCTAGAAACAAACCTTTATTTTAACAGTCAAATAATTTTCAACAAAAGTGCCAGGGCAAATGATTGGGAAAACAACAACAGTCTTTTCAGTAAATGGTACTGAAACAGTTAGACAGCAACGTGCAGAACTGATTTTGTTAGATTTTTATTACCTCACACCTTAAATAAAAATTAGCTCAAAATGGATCACAGACCATGAATGTAAAAACTAAAACTATAAAATTCTTAGATAAAAACACAGCAGTAATGCTTCAAAGTTTACTTTTAAAATGCGGAACTGTGGCCGACATGCCAAGGGCTGCCGTGCATAAGAGGGACAGCACGCAGGGACAGCCGGGCATGGGGAGCGGGGGCGGGGTCCTCAGAGGGAACCAGAGAGACACGCCAGAGGTCGGCGACACTGTAACAGAAACGGAGACGCCTCGGACGGGCTTGTTAGGCGGACTGGACACGCAGAGGGAAGGATCGCTGAGCTCAAGGGTGTGACAAAAGAAACTTCCAAAACTGAAGATAAGAGAGAACACAGATGGGAAAAAAGAAAAGAAAATGTCAATGACTGTAGGACAACTACAGAAAGTGTAACATGTAACATGATGGAAGTAACAGGAGGAGGAAAAAAGGAACAAAACAGAAGAAATATTTGAGATAATGATGATTGGGAATTTCCCCAAATTAATGTCAGAGCATACCACAGACCCAAGAAGCTAAGAAAACACCAAGAAGGGAAAAAATAGCAGAAAAACTGTACCTAGACATATCATACTCAAACTACAGAAAACCAAAGATAGAGAAAAAGCCCCAACCAGGTCCGCCTTTCTGGGGCAGAGTCACATTAACTAAGCCCGCAAGGCAGTGCCCGGGGGCCACCGTCACAGGGACAACTCGGAGCTCCTTCAGATTCCTCCCCAGAAACCACACAAGCAAGAAGAAAATGGAATGAAGTGGTTTTAAAGTTTGAGGAAAAACACCAACCTAGAATTCCATACCCTGCGAAATTATCCTTCAAAAGTGGAGGAGAACCAAAGATTTTCTTAAACAAAAATTACAAGAATATGCTGCCACAGACCTGCCTCACCAGAGATGTCAAAAGTTCTTTAGAGATTGTGCATGTGTGCGCGTGTGTGTATGTCAGAAACTTGGATCTAACTAAAGAGCAGCGAAGAAGTAAGTGAAGGTAAGATAAAAGCCATCCATTCTGAAGGACACGTTCTTCTTTAACTGTGTCCTACATCCAACGAGGTCACCATTCTGGCTTACCTGCCAGGGAGCTTTTTATTTTTTTTGTTTTGTTGAGGTACCCACAAATTTTTACTGTATTGTATTATGCTTTGATCTATAATTTAGCTCTCAAGAAAGTAATTATATTGCTCTTATTTTTAAAGTCCAGAGAGTGTTCTCATTCACTTAAGTACTTAATGCACACTTACTATTTGTCAAGCTACTGTTAGGCACTAAAACTTCCAGAATGAAAAACAAACTCTCTCATGGAGTGTATAGCCTAATGGACTTCATGTAATCCCTAAATACTGACAAAAAAATTTACAGCTAGTCAGTGCTCCAAGGGCATATAAAGATACCAGGGCAATAAAGTGATCTGGAGCAGGCCATTATCATTAGTGTGCGAGCGTGCAATTAGGTGTAAGGGGAAAAAGTGCATTTTGATATTAATGTAGGGAAAACAGTAAATAGCAGAGGCCATTTAAAAATGTGTACTAACTTTGACAATGGGCACTTTAATTTAGCATCTTTCAGCCTCAATTTTCTCATTTATATTATAACTAAATGGCAATGATATGCAAAACCAAGAAAATAGCCTAAATCAAGTAAATGTAAAAACCAAGCTACTAGTTCACAAACAAGCACCATTTCCAGCAACTAATCCTTCAATGGGTGAATTTATAGTTCAGTACTAGCCATATATTTGATTAGGTGCAGTATTGTGCAATAAAAAAGAAAAACGTGGTCTCAAAACTACCTGTGCCTCGGGGAGAAAAACAACTTGCAGTATCACGCCAACTAATCTCTTAGAGTTGAATAAAAATACAAACTCATAATTACGTTAAAATTTGAGCGAAGCCCTGGCCAGTGTGATTCAATTGGTTGGAGCATACTCCTGTAAACCAAAAGGTCACAGGTTTGATTCCCAGTCAGGGCCCATTCCTGGGTTGCAAGTTCGGTCCCCAGACAGGATGTATGAGAGAGGCAACCAATCAATAATTTTCTCTCACATCTATGTTTCTTTTAAAAAAAAACTTTTAAAAAAAAGAAATTAATAAGCATCTCCTTGGGTGAGGATTTAAAGGAAGGAAGAAAAAAAAGAAAACTCGATTTACTGAAGATGATTATGTCATCTGTTTCTGGCAGAGACTCTGATTATACATGTCATGTTTAGAGCTGATACTTAGAAGAAACCTCAAAAAGGCTTGATATAGACCTTATTAATGTTTAAGGCTACTACTACTTCAAATAGTTCTACTTTAAATAATTATTACCTGTATAAAGATGCAATAAAAGAACAAAAAGAGAAAAGGCTATCTGATATCCAAGTTAAAACACTAATTAATTAAAACATGCAAGTTTTTATCTGTTCTCTTCCCACACTCTCTCAACCTCTGCTCAGGATGGTTACTTTCACACTCAGCAAAGAGGTACGAAAAAAAGCTCAGCAAAAAGGTGTGAAAACCACCGAGACAGTCTAGAGACAGTCTACGGGTCTCAATGCCCCCAACCAGAGCTCCCCTCCCCAGCTGCCACGGAGAGCGCGCCAGGCCAAGCGTGCCCCGCCGCCACTGGGCACGTGCTCAGCGGGGTACCCTGGCTCCGGCAGGCGGGGCGCCGGCTCACCAGTGAGAACAGTCATGCAGGCTGTCGTGCAGGGCTTTCCGCAGCACCGAGTCCTTGTCATAGATGCCCCAGGTCGCTTGCAGCACTGAGTCAAGCAAGCAGTCTCCTGCAGTCCGGTTCCAAAGTGCGTAGAGTCGACTGTCCAAGCGTGTGGCCAATTCCAAGGACCAGTTTATAATTGGAGATTCTTCTTCTAACTCTACATGAGGAATTTAAATAGCATGGTCATTTTCACACCTATGCAATTAAGAATTCAGTGGAGAAAAGAATCGATTCTCTAGATGTTAATAGGTTTGTATGTAGTCTACTAATAAACACCTACATAACTTTGTCAATTGAAATATAAACCTTTTGAGTAGCTGAAACTTGTGGCTCTAGAATAATTTACTCAACTTTTAAATTCTTTACAATTCGTTTTCTAAAAAATGTTTAATATGGAAGTATACTCAGTCTGGAATAGGGAGTAGAAAACCATTTAAAAAACTTTTATACCTTTATTTGCTCACTCTATCAGTTAAGAGCTGTGAATGTGTATTTTCAACAGCACAATACATTGTCCTTGAGGACTTTACATTTTTAATTTAAAGTAAAAATAAAACAGGTTGACCAGACACTAAACCACTCCAAACCAAACCAAACCAAAGTACTAACAAACAAAGCAGGAAGTTTACTGAAATCAATGAAAGGTAAATCACATTCATTAATTCATTGCCCACCTTTTTGAACATCTCTGTCAAGCACCTCATCAAATAATTTTTCTTGGACTGTTGGAGGCAAATCTTCAATATCTACAAAGAAAAAGAGTCTTAAAGTATCTTATGTCTCACATCAAATCACCATGATGTATGTTTTAAATAGCTGCTAATTTTATGTCAATTATACTTCAATGAAAATGAACTAAAAGGACAAAAAAAAAATGTTATCTAATATCCAAGTTAAAACAGTAATTAATTATATGCAAATTTTCATCTGTTCTCTTCCCACACTCTCAACCTCTACTCAGGCCTCCTACTTTCAGACTCTAAAATCTTGTAAAAGTTAATAAACATTACCTGTGGCACGCAGATCTCTGTTTTTGTCATCTTCCTCACATTCTCTATGCTCTATTCTCTATGCTCTACTCAGTTTACTATTTGAGTAAAAACTATTATCCTTTAAAAAAAGTATTCTTAATATTTTAAGCTATTTTCATTGCAAAATAAAAATCTAATATAAAAATAAAAATCATCACTTAGGGTAAAACTTAAATACAGGGATGGGCTAAAGTAGGTTAAATTATCGGCAATGATTCCGTAAAAGATAAATCATAAGGATATGAATAACAAGATGGCAAAGAATACAAATTAAAAAACACAACAATTAACAAGTAATACAAGAATAAATTTTCACATACTCGCAACTGGAAACCTACTTCTCCCACCGCTGTCCTGTAGTTAGGAAATGGGTTTCAAATGAAATCTGTCTGAGGTTAAAAGGCTCAGTTACTGTCTCCTACCATTTGTAAATGCTCCTGTTCACGCCTGAGCGTAAAACTTCAAAACGTCCAGAACCAAGAGGGAAGATTTATTTCAGAAACTTTGTTGTTTGGTGCATTTATTCAAAGCCAACTAACAAAAACCATCTAAGATATTTCCCAATTATCACTGAATTGAAAAATGAAAAGTTGCTTCACAAATACAGTAGAAATCAATGCAATGAGTAAAGAAAGTAATGATACCTTCAAAAGAATGCCAGTATCTTTGATTCCAACTTGACTTTACCCATCAAAAGCTCACATTCTAATAATGTCTCCATATGCCAGATAACCAAAGAGCTTCCTAATTTCAAAATAATAGGCATGAAAAGAAAAAAAGAGTAGACTGCTAATATTTAAAATAAAGCCAACGGGGAAAATAAGCGGCTTAGACCGATTTTTAAAAAATATCTGAGGCCCACAAAGAAATCCATTATCAGCTGCCGTCTTCCTCCCAGGCCCACCAAGAATAGCAGCTCTTGCACTGGTCACTTCCAGTATAAATAGAATAGTCAGTCACATGATTTCAGATGCACATTTAATACCTGAGCTATCTGCTTTCTAACTGAAACATTTTCACTAGACATAAAAGAGTAACTACAGTAAGTGGAAATTTCTTCTCACACTGAAATTGGGAGTTACCTGCTGGCAATGTAAATGTTACAAGGTCAGTTAGGAAATAGCAAGCAAAGTCCCCCTTTCTCTGATGAAGGGAGGCAGCTATCTCTCGCCGGATCTGCTCCGTCAGTTCAGGACACACCATTGCTGGGATGCACTTTGCTGCTTGCTGAGACACCTTAAATACAAAAGAAAAGGTCCTCTGGATCTCACCATCAACAGAAGCGGAAAGCAGTAGTATTTAAAAGAAATTCCCAACATTTCCCGGTAACTCAAGGGTGTGAATTTTAAAATGTACTGGGTACTGGGTATTGTTTCCTTACCAGTGGAAGCATGTATCAGTACAACATTCCAGAAAAACAGACATTTTACCCTCTGACTCAATAATTCTACCTAATAATGTATTCCCATCACGCACATGAACAGTTATGTAAAATGGTGTTGTTCCCAAAGGCTCACTGCAGGAGAGGGAAGGAGGCCAGCAAACAACCTAAATAATAAGACTATCTTGACCTCCCCCACCAAAAAAAAATTCTTACACAGGGAATGCCAGCTCACAGGAAAAAACAAAGTACAAACACTGTTCTCTCACTCTGTTAAGAGTATTTCACAGACCCTGACCCGGAATAAAGAAAACATGGTATTTTTAAAGGGCCGGTTCCTGCTGACTTCTCTCTCCCCATTTCTTTTAACTCTGGGTTTGTAACGAAGCATCCGGCCTTCCCCCTGCTACCCGCCTCCCTGAGTACAGAACAGACGACAAGCCTTCGAAGTGCAGCCCATGAGGGAGGACACCTAAGCACTGGTGCAGTGACCACCAAGAACCACCTCTAGGCAAGGAGACGGCTAGAACCTTCCTCTCCTTTCTATATGATGAGCAACAAATGTGCAAAGGTATTATTTTACATTTAAGTTGGATCCTTCTGTGGAGCTCAGGACACCGGTGCACAGAGAATCCTGACATCAAAGGTGAGAGTACGTACTTGAGAGGAAATGGGCCTCGTGTGACCTCTGAGTGAGCCAGTTCTTTCTCTGCTGTCCCTACAGGCTGCAGCCACCACCCAGGCAACCGTCCAGAAGGGAGGATTCCCATCGTAAGTGGGCTTTTGGAGAAGATCTTCCAATAAGCTACTCACAAAGTTTTACAGATAATGGCATCTACATAATATATGCGGCTACCTTAACTGTAACTGCTATTTAAGGTAAGTAAACAGTTTCAAAAAACCCTGCCTGCCCAACACAATCATCAGACATACTCTTAAAAACTCCTACATGAAAACCCAGTTCTGCTGAACGTGACTGGCCAGGACACCACTAACAGTAAGATTCTCACTACATCTTAAGTCTATGAACCCAACTTCTAAGACACTCAAATTATAGAAAACCAAATATTAAATATTTTCACAAAATAACTGCCTATTTCACACCTGTGTTAAAATGGATCCCGAAAGTAAATTCAAAATGAGCTATTCCAATCTGCTAACTCTCTGCCCCTTTCCAAAGACCTAGCAAAATCTTTCCAAAAACAACTTGGACTGAACCCTGAACACTGCAAACACTCCAAGAGAAAGACACCTGAGAGCGGGAGCGCCCCCCAGGCACCCCCCCCCACCGCCACCCGTAGGCGGGGCACAACCCCAGAGCCTGCCTCTCTTCGGGCCCTTCCAACCCTGCTGACTTCCAACCCTCTCCCAAGGCCAGCAGTTCTTAACTTAGAGCCCGTGACACTGAGAAGGGGCCATGAACCTCACAGCGATTTTAATTAAATCTAAATCCTTCATTTTTACTCATCTCTTACCTATATTTCATTTTCCTATATATCACAAATTTAAGTTTTGGTTAACTACAGGGTCTGGCAAAAACAACAGCCCTTTTATACAGCCGGTATTCTATACCAAATCTTTTATTACAAAATCATAAGCATGCAGTTCTGTAACATAACAATATCACACTCAAGAACACCCTATGACATTTTAGGTGAAACGTTCAAACTGCTGTCCACCTTGTGGGAGACATTCACATACCCTGCCAACCACACTGTGCCAGACCCTGTATATTTCAATATACCGTTGACCCTTGAACATGGGTCCACTTCTATAGAAAAAATCTATAGATTTTTTTCAATAAATGCTATAAATGTACTTATTTTCTTCTTTATGCTTTTCTTAATACCATTTTCTTTCCTCCAGCGTACTTTATTATAAGAATACACTATAAAATACATATTGCATATAAAATGTGTTCATCGACCCTTAAGTGACTGGTGAGTAGTTAAGTTTCAGGAGAGTCAAAGTTGTGCTGCATTTTCAACTGCACAGAGGGATGATGTCAGCATCCTTACCCTCCACACTGCTCAACGACCAACTGTAACTGATTTCCTTTGCAATCTTATTTATTTTTATTTTATTCATTTAAAAATATTTTGAAAAAAGTCCATAGGTCCCACCAGACAACCAAGCAACAGGGCCCATGAGCTGAAACCCCTGCCCAGACAGCACCCCCAAAACCTACTCCCATCCCCAGAGTGCCCGGCTCTGCGCGTGCTCTGCGCGCTCTCGGCAGGCGCGGCCGGCAGCGCTGCACGGCACAGCCTCCCCACCGGCGGGCCCTTTCCAGCCCGCGGCCGCCCAGGCCCAGTCTCCTCTTGTCACTTCCTCTTCCTCTGCTGGACACTTTTCAAAGCCTTTTTACGGCCCTCAGAATAATCTTCTAAACCCTTAGCCCAGAGGATCCTTCATATCCACCCCCTGCTCTCTCTCCCAGCTCCCCCTTCTCAACTCTTAAATCGCCATCGCAGCCAGGCTGAGTTACCTGCAAGCTCCCGACTTCGCCACAAGCACGGCCACCCTGGCCTCTGAATAAACGGTTTCCTCAACTCCCCTCCCCCATGCCCTTTGTGAGACTAACTCCTACTCCTCCTTCAGATAGTTAACTGAAATGCTACCTGCTCTAGGTGAGAAGGTAAAGAGTCTCAAAACACTTTCTCAAGTACTGCCCCAGCTCCTGGCACACACCTCTACAAGAGCACACGCTGTACCCAATCGCCTGTTTATTTCTCTACTTTTCTGGCAATCAGTGAAGGAGGACCCAATGTCTTCACAAACTTATCCCTTTTTGAGCACACTGCCTAGCACACAATGGTACTCAATAAATATTTGTTAGTAGGATGAATAACAGATACATCCAGTTTTTTTTTAAGTCAAACATGATTCAAATATTGTGGCAAAATGTACTATTTTATGAGCAAATACCCTTAAACATTATATACGGTTGAAGTCCCTTAAGTTTAACATTATTTTTTCAAGGGATGAATCTGAAACATTTAAGAACTGTTTGGAGAAACACTGTAACATCAAAAATAAAAAGGAAACACATTTCCGTCATGGAAAGGCACGCACACAAGAACGACACACTCACCTCCGTGAGCAGTATCGCTAGCATATCCTGCCTCTGGAAGCGAATGGCCAGGTGCACCAGAGTGTAGCCAACGTCGAAAGCAGAAGGGCGGTTCAGCAGGCGCACCTCATCTGCCGTGAGCTGACGAGCAATGTCCCCTCCCGATGACTTGTACGCTTCTATAGCAGCTAAGTCACCTTCTACAACCCCTGAAACAAGCATCAAGATAGAAAAGAGTTTAGTTCTGTTTTTCTTCAAAAAGCCTAAGCCTGCAGCATTCACTCTACTTTGAATGTTTCTCTGTGCTTCCTGGATCCCGGGGCATCAGTCCAACACCCTAAAGAACACAAGCAAAATTAGCGCACCCCGCCCTGTTGTTTCTTTCCAGAGCGGGCCTGCCTGGTTGGGCACAGGCACTTACCTTTGCCTCCGTGCTGGCTCCGGGCTCACATGGGGATCAGAGGCATTGCTAGAATATTAACTGAACCAGAGACGGGCAATCGAGTACGAGAAACTAGACTTCGCAGAAGACACTGAACTCCTGTTCTGGTCCTGACTCGGCAGAGGCCAAGGGGACGTGCTTCCCACGGTACTGGGCACTTACGCCCTTTGCCCTGCATTCTTAAAGCTCCATCGAAACAAATGTGGAGCCTTCCACACCGCGGTAGATTTGAAACCATTTAAAACAATTGAAACCATTTTCAGTGTTAAGTGAGCAATATTTTGATTTCAGACTCTCTCACAGACAAGTTTTTCTACACCCATTAAGAATTATTTATATAGTAAAACTTGAACCAGTTGATTTTGAACAAAAATGCGCTAAAACAAAACACTACAAAGCAGTTGGGCTGGGAGAGATAAAACAAATATCACTTTTTCCAAGTCCATAAGTCACTTTCCATTTCCACTGAACTACATTATTAATCTTAGCACAAATTAACATTAGGTGAAAACAGTAACCCTATTTTCTAAACACTAGAGTACATCTATAGATAATAAACAGCTTTGCAAAAAAAAAAAAAAAGGTGCTGGTAAGCTTCAAATGTACCACAAATAGTGGTTGAAAACAAAACAAAACACCGAGAGTGTAGGATCAACCAAATAATTTTACGTGTTTCCTAAGTTACATCAGTAAAAATTTTTTGGTTGGGTAAAATATTAACATGAACTAAAAATAATTCTCAGTGTATTCTTTAAGTGTTTTTAATTGCTCTCTTGAATTAGGAAGTAGATAACAAAGATCTAGCTATTCCTTGGAGTATGAAATCAGTACAATGCAACAATTTCCCCAGCTACTGAAAATAACAACGCTTTAAAATGATCCTTCAATTCCCACATCACTGAATGCCCACGACACACAGAGCAACAATATGAGAAACATAAAGACAGTAAAAACGTGATTCTTCACCTCAAAATAGCACTTTTCCATCACATTTGTAAGCCATTAAAGGCCAGCATTTTCAACCTCTGGGTCAAAAATTCTTTCTGGAAATCCAGATTCTGTCCCAGCCACATACATTTTTCAGGTTAAGAATCCATGCTATCAAATGAGAATGCTTCCTTAGAGGCAGATTTATTTTCGAGCCATGTAGATTAATAAATTCCTCAATATAAACGCCCAAGTACAGCTGGAACCTCCACCTCCAGGACAGAAAGGGCGCCAGCACACCCTTGGGAGGCAGTGTGTCCTGGAGAAGTCATCAGGGCTAAGCTGCCATTTGGCTGGCATAGACACGGGCAATGAAATCTTCTCAAGAGTAAGCCTTAAGAATGGACGTGGAAAGTTCTCCTTGAAATTTAAAAAAATCTACGGTTAAAGAGTCAAGTACAAAAGAATTCTAGCCCTGGCTGGCGTGGCTCAGTGGAGTGAGTGCCTGCCTGTGAATCAAAGGTAACCAGGTCGATGCCCAGTTGGGACACACCTGTGTCCCCAGCTGGGGGTGTGTGAAAGGCAACCGATCAATCCACCTGCCATATCGTAACGCATCGATGTTTCTCTCCCTCTCTCTCTCTCCTCCTTTCCCCTTCTCTAAAAAATAAATAAATAAAATGTTTTTAAAAAAAGAAAAAAGAAAAACTAAACTCTAGCCAAGTGGGTTGGGCATCGTCCTGCAAAGCAAAAGGTCGGAGGTTCAATTCCTGTCAGGGCACAGGCCTGGGTTGCAAATTTGGTCCCTGATCTGGGCACATACGTAAGGCAACCAATCGATGTTTCCCCCAATTTTTCCCTCCTTTCCCACCTCTCTAAAAATAAACAAACAAAGATTTCTCTCTAATTTGTGTTAGTGAACAGATGAGAAGTGGCAAACTCATGCAGTTTGCTTTAGAATTTGCTTTAGAACTGAACACACCGTCTCCAGCGCCTTCTGTGCATGAGGCTTCCTTACGAAGCCGACTAAGGCCCACAGCACTCCTGGCAAAGCTCTCTGTTCAGGTGCACACAGTGTCACTGCACCTTTTTCACAGTTTTAACCTAAAGTATAAACACTGTGTATGTGTGCAGTATGTGTCTACATACCATATACAACTGTATATACTGTACAACTCTTCACAGCATGAAATTCTCCAAACTTCCCAGAACATGAAAAACACAAATTTAAGTATAGGCACAAAGTAATATTTAAAAGAAAAGCATTTTGTTATCTAATGTTTTGGGAAGATATAGAATTCCATTCTTTTAATTAACCATAATTAAATGCTCAATAGCTCAGTTACTGAGTTTTCAGCTACAAAGGTAAATTTATTAAATAAAATTTCATGGAAGTATCACTGAACTGTCCACGTTTTTGATTACCATCATTACACCTTGTTCAAAGAGAGCTACTGATTAAAGTTTAGACAGTTTCTTGATAGAGGGTTTTCACTGTGCACATGGTGTTGAAAAGGATTTGACCCACATTCCAATAATTTAAAAGTTTTAGCTACCATGTTTCCTACTTAGGAGGGGAAAAGCATCAGATTATATGCAAAACAACTTACAAAATGTCTTTGGAGTTCTTCATGTAACATTGCATTTCTACCACTTTTTAATATTAGGGAATAAAAGGAACGTTGAAGAGTTGGTAGGCAGCAAAAAAAAACAGCAAGTACACGTCAATGGCAAATCTTACTTAATTATCAGAGACCAGGGAAAACCAGAAAAGCTCTAGTAGGAGAAAGAGAGGATGTACACGTGCTGTCTAAGTTACTGACACCGCACAATGCCGCTAGAGTAACTGAAGCATCATTCTCTTAAAGATGGTTTTACATGATCCATCCCTTCCTCATTCATGCTGTGAAAGCAAATAAAAGGACAACTGAAGGCACTCTGAAGATTAACTTTTTAAAACTAACCTGCAGTATCATCATACATTCAAAACTGATCAAATGAAATCCTGCAGAACTCACTAAATAGTGTTGCATAATCACAGATTAAAAAAAGGTGTTAGTATACTTTTAAAAACATGAAGACCTGAGTTGTAAATGATAGATACTATATTATATATTACAAACTATAAACATAAAAAAAAATCATATTGTTGTGTAAGCTGGACCAGGAGAATGTAACACACTGGGTGGGCAAAAGTAGGTTTACAGTTGTGGGTACACGAAAGTTTATACTTGTATTAATATTTTTTAACTATTGTATTTTCCATACAAACAACTGCATGCCCACTTTTGCCAACCTCTGTATTTTGAAGTCACAACTCACTGGGGACTTCACAGCTACTATGGAACTCCGTTGATCAGAATATGGAGCTGGCTTATTGATGTTTAGAAAACAGACTTATTTTTTTCCCCCATATATGGCACAGTTTTCAAAGTTTTGCCTTATATTCTTTTATGACACAAAATCATAATGGTAACTAACTTTGAAAAGAATGCCAAATGGTTAAAAAAAAAGCCAGGACTTACCTGAGCCCACATGGGCCAGCTCAACACTACCCTGGAGTTCTATGGTAGCTGTGACACCACAGCACGCTTATGCTGTGGGCTCAGGGTGGGCTTGGAGTCGGCGTGCACAATTTCAGGAGCCCTTGAAGAGAAAAGTTAGTTTTAAGTGGTGATGTTCAGAATGCCCTTTACCACGGTCAGCAGAAAGATGTAGCTGTCTATGTAGGTTCTTCCTCTACCCAGAGTTTAATTCATTTAACTGGTTTTGCATTTTAAAAAGGACACTATACCACCCTGTTAATACCTTTTCTTTATACTCCTCACCATTTGGCTATAGTTCAGTCACAGACTTGGTTTACATATTCACAGCAATCTCTTTCAATACTTAAACATGAACTGCTTTTTAAATTAAATGACCAATATTTTTAAGGGTATCTTCAAGTAGGCACAACTCCACAGCAGTCCCAAAAATAGTTTGAGTAGGCAAAACAAATGACCTGTAGATTTATTTTTCATACAATAAACAACGGCAATGAGTTAAAACCTAACATTTCTATTCCTAGGATAGGGCTACAGAACAATAACCTTTTCAGAAAACCAAGAGATGAAAATCACAATTGGACATAAACCCTTAAATTAACATAATCTATACTATATCAAGATGAGCTTCTATTCATCTTATTTAATAAATTCACTCCATTATGAAAACATCCTCTTTTAAAAAATAAGATTCAATGATAGGAAAGTCAAAATAGTCTCCTAAAATAGGCTTTTAAATGCTCTCTTATTAATCATGGCAAACTATGCCAAACACAGCTTCTCCTTTGGAGATCTTACTGCCTTATCTTTGATCAGACGGTTCACAACCCAACTGCTGTGGAACTATAAATTCCCAAAATCATCGAAAACAGGACCTGGATTGCTAGCTCCCTTTTTAAGGGATGGCGTCCCCAGGCAGGAAGAACTGGAGCTGAATGCGCGATGGAATCGTTGAGAGGAAAAACATGGGACAAAGCAGTCTTTGGGAAGGTGATCGGAGAAGGGGACAAATGTTAATGGGTTAAAGGGGAGTTCAAATGACTAAAGCACTTAAAATACCGCCAAAACTGTCAACTGAGGGGATGGCTACTGTGGTTCTTAAAAACCTAGGGTCCCAGTTATATAAAATAGTGTAGCTCAAAACCACATGTACCACTGAAATCAAGTCCCCAAAGTTTTTCTGACTTCACGTAAAAGTTCCCTCTGCTACACTGCCAAGTTATCCTGGCTGAATTTGGAACCCAACTGTAGATTTTTTGGAAGTATACTATTTTAGGTAGGCATGGATCAACAGAAC